GGCTCAGGGCAAAAAATGCAAAGAGACCCACACCAAGGCACATCATTGAAAAAATTTCAGGAAACCCAGGGCAAAGAATACATTTTAATAGCTTCCAGAAAGACAAAACAGATTACATACAAAAGTCTGCAAATCAAATGATAACAGTCTTCTCAATAGCAATATTGGTCACTAAGAAACAGGAAAGCAATACCTTAAAAATTCTGAGGGAAAATTATTTGCAAGCTATTATTCTATACCCAGCCAAACTATCAACAAAATGTGACGGTAAAGACAATTTCAGAAATACAAAGTCTCAAAAACTTTACTCCCCAAATATTCTTTCTCAGACAACTGATGAAGAATGTGCTCCACCAAAGTGAGGAAGTACATCAAAAAACAGGAAGAAATGAGCTACAGAAAACAGGAGATCCAACACAGGAGAGAAGCAGAAGGAATTTCCAGAGTGGTGGTGAAGGGAAGTCGCAGGATTGTAATTGTGTAGCAGACATAGAGATCAACAAGTTCGGGTTGGAGCAGGAAAACAAAGGTCTCCAAGAGGGATGTTTCCAAGAAAAAAATGGAACTGAGAGATTACCTGATGTGTTTGACTATGTGGAGTGATCTTTGTAGTTCTGATGGGAATGTGTAGGGTTAAATTCATAATACATACACAGAAATCTAAACAAAAAGGAAAAAATTAACTCTGAAAAAATTGTATAGGAAAAGAAATGTAGTTATAGTACACCATACTCATATAGTAAAAATACTGTAAATATTGAATATTTATTTTAAAATTGGACTATAATTCTATTGGGAGGATAAGGGAAAATGAAGCATGTAGGGGTGGGAAGGTGGGTATAAGAGCTATATATTCTCAAATATAAATGGCTAACAAGCACATGAAAAGATTGTCAACATCATTAGCTATTTCAAACCCATTGATGTCGAGTCAAATTCGACTTATAGTGACCCTGTAAGACTGAGTAGAACTGCCCCATAGACTTTCTAAGACTGTAATCTTTGCAGAAGCAGACTACATCTTTCTCCCTCGGAGCGACTGATGGGTTCCAACCACTGGCCTTTTGGTTAGCAGCTGAGTGCTTAACCACTGCACCACCAGGGCTCCTTCATTAGGAGCTGCAAATCAAAACCGCAGTGAGATACTTCACCTCCACTAGGATGGCTAAGACTCAAAAAAAAACAAAAAACAAAAAACAGAAAACAGCAAGTATTGGTGAGGATGTGGAGAAACTGGAACACTTATTCATTGCTGGTGGTAATGCAAAATGGTACAGCCACTGTGGGGAAGAGTTTGACAGTTCTTCAAACAGTTAAACATGAACTACCATATGACCTAGAAATCCCACTCTTAGGTATAAATCCAAGAGACTTCAAAGACCAACACAAACAGACACATGTACACCAATGTTCACTGCAGCACTATTTGCAACCGCCAAAAGGCAGAAATAACCTAAATGTCCATCAAAAGATTGATGTATAAACAAAATGTGATATATACAATGGAATACTGCTCAGCCATAAAGAAAAATGAAATCCTGATACATGCCACAATATGAATGAACCCTGAAAACATTACGCTGAGTAAAGTCAACCGCAAAAGGACAAATATTGTATGATCTCACTCATATGAAATATCTAGAAGAGCAAATGTATAGAGACCAAAGTTTATTAGTGGTTATAAGGGGCAGGAGGGAGGGGAAAAAGGGAAGTCACCGTTTAGGAAGCACTGAGTTTCCATTTATGGTAATGGAAAATTTGGCAGTGGACATTGGTGGTGGTTGCACAACATGATTAATGTAATTGATGTCACTAAATTGTACATATGAGAAATGTTAAATAGGCAAATGTGTTATATATATACACATATTTACAACAATAAAAAATAGCTATATCTTTCCTTCTATTGTAGGATGCCAATAGAAATTTTAAAATCAGGAAAAAGATTATGTGTGTTGGCTAAAATATAGAAATAAACATTAGAAAAAATACAAAACAGCTGAAAGTGTAGTTGCTTTTGAGGAGTAGGAATCAGTGGTGATGAGGGCAGGGCAGAAGGCTCCTTTTTTTTTTTTTAACCTTGTCATATGCCTAGCTGATTTTTTTGAAGTTATGCACATGTATTATTTGGATTTAAAAACGTGTTTTAAGAAGAATGAAGGAAATTAAAAAGCATAGAAAAATTGAGTGTCCCTTGGGTAGCATTTGCTACCTTGGTGAATTCATCACCATCCTGGATCCAGACATCAGCTCTGAAACCAGAGTGGTTAGTCCTAAAAGCAGAACATCTCTATGGAACAGAAGCACATTAACCAGGCTCATGAGACTGATATTTCAAATCAGATGCCAATTCATTAATTTATAAAAGGAAGTAGGGCTTTGAAGCAGACTGGATTTTGCCATTCGCCGATGAGTGCATTTTCTCCCTGTGGGCGGATCGACATGGGGAACAGAATGGTTTTCAGCAGGTTGCTTGGTGATCCAGAGCATGGGCAAAGTGGGGAGCGGGGGTAAATTGGGTGGTTCCAATGAATGATGCCTCCATCCCTCCTGTTGCTAGATTAGCAACTTTGTCCCCAGACAGTGCCAGGATGGACAGTGCTGGTGATTGCTTTGGCACCTTTCCTTGGTCTCTGCTTCCTTGGCTACGCAGACCCTTCCTGACTGGCACTTCTTTCTTTAGCTGCATTAATACATTTAATCAAATTATAGTCTAAACTGGGCATGAGAGTTATTCTGTCTCCATTAGGTAGGGTGGCACATCTCTACTTTAAAGCATTAGAGGTTTGTGTTCAGTCAAATAGGCTACACATTTACTAAGCACCATGATGTGCCTGGCTCTGTTCTAAGCCCTGGGGTTACAGCAGTGAATGATACTGGCATTTATCCCTGCTCTCATGGAGTTTACAATCTGGTGTAAGGAAGACAAACATTAAACAAACAATTTAAATAACTAAAAGTGTGCAAAATGAAGAGCACCCTGACTCTCAGAAGATAACTTAATTCCCTTTATCCCAGTTTTTGAATGAGGGCGGGCACCTTCTAGTTGCTCTCAGATATCACCTACAAACAGTAAAACCAAAAGGAAGGGGGTTGCTGAGTAAAGGCTCTAGTCCAGATAGAGAAAAAAAGGCCCATTTTCCAAGCATAGATTCCCAGCGTTCTGTGGGTCCTACACCCAAAATTCTTCCAATAAAGTGATTTTCTGCTTAAATTTATCTAGGGTTGATTTCTGTAATTTGTAACCAAGAACCTGCCAGCAACCATTTCAGACATCTGTGGACCAGAGAATCAATCACCAAAAGGCAGTTCCAGTCCCTCTGCCTCGGGGCTGGGACCAAAACTGCAACCTCTCTGATCTGTGCCTCCAGTTTAGCACAGAGCAGGAACCACACACAGGCTGTCTCAATAAAATCTGGTTGCCTGAATCACTCAGTTAAGTCAGTTAACAAATACCGGCCAGAAGCTGTTCTAGGTGCTGAGGATACAAAGCAAGTAGGAACTAGTTCCTGCCTTTAAGGATGTTCCACATGTGCCTTAGACCTAACATGTCCAAAAGTGAGGCTATCAACTTCCCTGCCTTCTTTCCCAACTCATACATCAACTCATACCTTATGCTCATGCTCCAACCACATTGAACTGCTTGCACTTCTCACTTCCCTCTGCTGGGTTTGGTTTTCTTAGACCACAGGAGTGGGAGGGAAAGAGAGACAGCAAGAAATCAGGCTAAGCAGACAGGGGCCGGACCTTGAATGCCAGGTGTAACCTTCTAGATGTATTGGCTGCTGTCCCAAATTACTTCCCTTGGGCCTATGTCTCAGACTTGCAGTGTAGTTTAGTAGCTATTCCTCTTCCACCGAAGGTAGTTTGCATAGAAGATGACACAAAGGGCTATATGTTCATCATCTTGGCCTGAAACGCCGGACCAGCAATGTCCCCGTTTTACAGATGAACAGAGAGCTTCGAAGGACTTAGTTCCATAGTTAGCAGATGGCAAAGCAAGGACTTGAATGAAGTTTCCAGACCCCAAATCATCGTTCTCTTTCCTCTGCTAGGACAGCTGCTATGGAGTGTTTGGTGTAGGCGTGGGAAGGAAGAGGGTTTCAGTCCTGACCTGGCCCCCAAGGGGGTGGGGAGGAGTTCCCCCTCTCCATCGGCCCCACCGGCTTAGCCTATTTGGCTAGTCTCTCCTCCAGGGCCAGTACACTTCCCTGGATGCTCTATCTTAAATTCTCACAACAACCCTGTGAGGTACGTATTAGAATCCCTTCATTTTATAGACGAAGCTGAGGCTCAGAAAGATTAAGTTTCGGGATCCAAAGCCCGGAATCTTCACCACTTTGCTCCTCTGCGGTCTAGGCTTGGGCCAAGACGCCAAAGAAACAGGTGATGAAGCGGATGCAGGCAGCCAGCTCGAGCTCAGGGCTGAGGGCCGCCAGGTGGCGCTGGTGGAGGCGCAACCGCCCCCAGCGGGCAGGACGCACCTGAAGAGAGCGGGGCGCGCCCGAGGAAGCAGGCTTGCGGGGCGGGAAGGGGAGCAGCCTTATTCCTCAACCCAGAATAGGCAAGGGGCTTTAGTTTGGCCTGCTGGGACCTCCGTGTTTTCGTTAAAGAGTCACGCCTCCACCAGGCGACCGCCGGGCTGCATCAGCTAGCCGCCTGCTTTGCGCTTCCTAGCGCGCAATTAATTTTGGGGAGCAGAGGGCTAAAGCCCGCGAGAGCGGCCTGGAGGGGTGCGGGCTGGACTCTGCCACCCCCACCTGTCGGCTGCAGGGAAGGGGCGGACAGGGGGCGGGCTTTGTCCGATAGGGTCCGCCCCCCGGTCCCAGAGCCTCGGGCGCGGGACTAGATATAAGGCAGCCAGGAAACAATGCTCCTGCAGCTCGCGCTCCCGCGCCGATCCCGGGAGCGTCCGGGCTGCCGTGCGCGAGCGAGGGGGAGTGCGCGCGCGGGGGGAGCGCGTTCTTGTGTGGGGGCGCGCGCTCGGTGGCGCGCATGTGCGTGTGTGCAGACTGCCGGGCTGCCCCGAGCCGGCGGGGAGCCGGTCAGCTCCTAGTGGCTGGCGGCTGGAGTGAGGTGAGGCGGCGGGCGGCCTGGGGACAGGTCCCGGAGGGGTGGGGGTGGGGGGCGGCAGGCTGCCTTCTGGACACAGTGTGCCCCCGGCCGGCCCTGCCCGAGCCTGGGAGCTGCGCTCCGGGCGGCGCTGGCAAAGTTTGCTTTGAACTCGTTCCCCGCAGCCTGGTCCGCGCGCACTGAGTGGCTTCCCTGGGCGCGCTTGACCCAGGTTCTGGCTTCCAGGGACGCCAGGGCAGGGCGCGGGCTGCAAGCCAGTGGGGCTGGGGAAGGACGAGAGCCCGGCGGCCGGCTGTGCTGAGCGAGTCAGGGACGCCTTCCTTCCCCGGCCCGCACTAGGGTCAGCACGTCCCCTCTTCCCTCTCGCAGGGAGCGGACATGGACTTCGACTCGTACCAGCACTATTTCTACGACTATGACTGCGGGGAGGATTTCTACCGCTCCACGGCGCCCAGCGAGGACATCTGGAAGAAATTCGAGCTGGTGCCGTCGCCCCCCACGTCGCCGCCCTGGGGCTTGGGTCCTGGCGCCGGGGACCTGGCCCCTGGGGTTGGTCCCCTGGATCCGTGGCCCGGAGGGGGAGTTGGGGATGAGGCGGAATCTCGGGGCCACTCGAAAGGTTGGGGCAGGAACTACGCCTCCATCATCCGTCGTGACTGCATGTGGAGCGGCTTCTCAGCCCGGGAACGCCTGGAGAGAGCGGTGAGCGACCGGCTAGCCGCTGGCGTGCCCCGTGGGAACCCGCCTAAGGCACCCACTGCCCCGGACTGCGCTCCCAGCCTCGAAGCCGGCAACCCGGCGCCCGCCGCCCCGTGTCCGCTGGGCGAGCCCAAGACCCAGGCCTGCTCGGGGTCCGAGAGCCCTAGCGACTCGGGTAAGGATCGCCCTGGCCCACCTAAGAGGGAGGCACCCCGTGGGTGGCCGAAGTTCTATAGCTGACTGAGGTCAGGCGCTGGGTTTTGGCAAGCCCTTCACCCACCTCCCCCTTTCTCTGGCTGAAGCTGCCGGTGTAGCCCCCAGCAGTGTCTGTCTGGCACGTGGGTGTGTTGGTAAACAGTTTAGAGAAGTAGCGTGGGAGTCAGCGTCCTTTTGATGATGATTGGAGCCCCAGGGGACAAGGGAGAGAGGGTTGGCACTTACAGAGGACTATACTGGGGTTAGACTGTGGGGGATTTCTGTCCGTGGGAGGCTGAAAGGGGTCCCCTAAGGGTCGCTCCATGCTTGAAGCATTTTTGTTGCTTCCTCTTTCTTGGGGAAACTCACACCCTCCTAGAGAGGGAGAAATCTGAGAAACCTTTCGTGCAAAGCTGAAACCTTCATCCTTTAAAAAAAACCCCAGGTCTCTAGCCCACTTTATTTAAATATGCCACTAATGCCCTTCCATTACACCTTCCACCCCTTACCACTGTGCATCCTCACCACCACCCACAAGACAAGCAGGGGAGGAATGAACATTCCTCATCAACAGATGGAAAAACTGAGGCTTAGAGATAGGAATCACTAACGTGAGCCCAGCTTCCTGCCATCTAGACAGCCTTCTTTCCCCAACCCTCTATCCCAACCAGGCACTTTGATTTTTAGAGTCTTCACTGTCACTTATCTGAGAAGGCTGTACCTTGCCTTGTTGCTTTAGCTGGAGGTGGAAAGGTGTCCCAGCCCCCTCCCCACTCATCTGAGGGCTTCAGTTGCTACCTGGCCTTCAACAAATGTTCACTGGCCTCTACTTTGTGCTAACCTCTGAGCTAGGTGCTGAGGCCACAGACATGGAGCTCCAGCCCCCTGTCCTTGATGCAAGTGCAGACCTCTCTGACGGCACAGTATGCAGCGTCCTGTGCACCAGACTACATTGTTCTTAGCCCAACCTCTTAAAGTCATGAGAAATACCGGAGAGGATGCTTTTGTAGGGGGCAGACTGAGGCCGGCTCAGGTAAATTAGGACCGAGACAACTCACTGTAACTTTTAAGAATAACTTTAAAATGACCATTTGAGAGGGAACTGAGGAATGGGATATGGGAGTTGTCACACATTTGAGGGGAATAATAAGGATAACCAGAAAAATTAAAATTCTTTTTTTTTTTTCTGTCCGTTGCTTGCTTTCTATTCCAAAAGCTTGTGTTTGTTTAATGGCTCGAATAAGAATCCTTGATATTAAGAATCCAATAAAGATGTATCTCTACCAAGGCTGATGGAGTGGTAGACTGGAAATATTGTTTGGGGAGTTTGGAAATCTTAGTTTGAGATCCAGAACATTACTAAAGTGATGTGTGGACTTGGCTAGTCCCTTTCTCTCTGGGCCTCAGTTTCTCCCTTTGTATGTGAGAGGTTTGGACTCGATTGTCCTGATGAAGTTATTGCCTTGTCTGGCTAAAGAAGAGTGAGATACTACTCTGAAAAGGAGAATGGTGTGTTAAATTATTTCTTCCTCAGCCATAAGGTTTAACACTGAAATATTAAAGGTATGGGATCTGGGGAATCCTCCTGAATCACTTTCCGACCTGCCCTTTAACCTGAACCTGTTTGCTGGCTCCTGGTTCACTCACAGGCCACATGGCCTAGAACAAAACGCAACAGATTGCAAACAATGACGGGGGTGGGGAGAGTGACTGACGGCAGAGCTCAGCCAATACGGGCTAGGGGCTGGTTAAAGCAGCATTCCAAACACAGCTTAGCCAGCCAATCACAGGCTTTGGGGCCAGGAGGGCTGAATGGTCAGGTTTTATTAATGGAGAAATAATGCAATTGTCCACACAATGGAAGCCATCGTGACAAAGGGGCTCTAGCATCCTGATATGCAAAAGAGGCCGAGAACTGAGCTCTTCTGTTGTCAGCTGAAATGCGTTAAGGTGGCCTTCTGTGTGGGGCCTGCAAAATGTGTGGAGCAGGAGTATTTTCTCCCAATTGCCCCTCTCCTGATTGGCGTAACCTCAAAGACTCCCGGGCCAGGAAATGGTGGGGCAGTTCCAGGTGTCTCTCCAGGTCCCTGGTGGGTTGGTCCTTGTAACAGGACATTATCCTGCCGCTCAGTTTCTGCCCCTGGCACAGGGTAGCTTGGGAATTGTTCCTTGTACCTTTGTGACGTTCCTACAGCTTTCACAGACCTGTGATTACAAATCCAACCCTTTTCTGGTCCAGGGAAGGGGGTGGGACAGTCGACCTATAAATGATGGATGACTTTAGAAACCCATTGAACCCAGGAGCAAAACGCTCCTGAGGGAAACCCTGGCCCTCCCCTCTGTGGGTGAGGAGGGTTGCGTTGGGGCCCTCCCTTCTCTGAATCTTCAGCTGAAAGGGATGGCAGAATAGAGAGGTGGGAGAATAATAGGATTTATAACTTGTGAAAAGTAACAATTCCCCAAGTGCAGCCTGTGCTGGGCAGGAACAAAGGGCAGCTCTGCCCACAGACCCCTCATTTACAATTCTGATGGGGCATGAAAGAGCCCGACTGGGGAAGATCTTTATAGCTAAACTTTGTCCCAGGCCGGTAGCTCTTTCTCTCTATCCCCTCAGTGGGGGAGGGTAGAGCTTGTGCAGACTGGGGGCTGTTGGCTTGGGTTTGCCTTTTGTTCTTATCTAGGCCTTGCTGTGCAGAAGGAAATTGGAGAATATTTTCCTTCTTGCTTATTCCCCCTCCTTTCCTTTACACTGCCCTTAGCCGATTAGAAATAATTTAGCCGGCCTTCTCCTCACTTCAATTTGTCTGTATCTAAATTAAGAAAAAGTCACCTACCTTCCCAAGCTCCAGCATAGAGAGCTAAAGCGGTAGGGTCTGTGTATGTGTTTCTCACAGGGTGTTGTCCTTCTCTTGCTCTCTCTTCTTGGACAGAGGGGGAAGAAATTGATGTTGTGACGGTGGAGAAGAGACAGTCCCTGGGTGTACGGAAGCCGGTCACCATCACAGTGCGAGCAGACCCTTTGGACCCCTGCATGAAACACTTCCACATCTCCATCCATCAGCAACAGCACAACTACGCTGCCCGTTTTCCTCCAGAAAGCTGCTCCCAAGAAGGGGTTCCAGAGAGGGAACCCCAAGAAGAGGCTCTAGAGAGAGAAGCGCCAGAGGAAAAGGAAGACGAGGAAGAAGAAGAGATGGTGAGCCCTCCACCTGTAGAAAGCGAAGCTCCCCGGTCCTGCCACCCCAAACCTGTCAGTTCTGATACTGAGGATGTGACCAAGAGGAAGAACCACAACTTCCTGGAGCGCAAAAGGCGGAATGACCTCCGGTCGCGGTTCTTGGCCCTGAGGGACCAGGTACCCACCCTGGCCAGCTGCTCCAAGGCCCCCAAAGTAGTGATCCTAAGCAAGGCCTTGGAATACTTGCAAACTCTGGTGGGTGCAGAGAAGAGGATGGCCACGGAGAAGAGGCAGCTCCGATGCCAGCAACAGCAACTGCAGAAAAGAATCGCGTACCTCAGTGGCTACTAACTGACCAAAAAGCCTGACTGCTCTGTCTTACAAAAACACAAGTTTATTTTGTATCCTTCCCCCTCCCCCTTAGTAATTTGCACATTTTGTTTACGGTGGGACAGTCTGGACAATAGATCCCAGAATGCATTGCAGCCAGTGCACACAATAAGGGCTTGCATTCTTGGAAACCTTGAAACCCGGCTCTCTCTCTTCCCTGACTGGTTGGAATGCTGTGTCTTCTCTGGCCCTTTGGCTCCTCAGGCAGGCAGCTGACTGTGGAGCCTTGGGGTCTGCCTAGCTCACTAGCTCAGAAGAAAAGCCTGACAGATGCTATGCAACAGGTGGTGAACGTTGTCGGGGGGCTGCGGCCTGCATGAAATCTCACACTCTGGATGAGCTTTAGGCTGGGAAAAGATGCTCCCAGTGGTGTCTCTGGGGTGATGCTAGGACAGCTGGGCCTGGATGTTCTTCCTGAGGCTCCTTTTTCCAGGAGACACATGAGCTGTCTTAGATGGAGACAAGCTTACAAACTTGATCAACACGGACCATTACCTCACTGTCAGACACTTTATAGTAGCTGAGGAGTTGGTAAACCTTTTAGATACATTGGTGTATATATAAACCTTTTATATATAAACTAAAAATGTTAGATAATACCCCTCCTTCCACTCTCAATGCTAAGACCTTGAGAACTTTTAAAGAGCTTGGCTTCTAGATTCTTTGTCTCAGAGCCCTCTGGGCCCTTTCTTCTGAGGGAGGGACCATTCTGTCCTCAAAAGGGACTTTTTTGTTTCGTTCTACCTTTGTTATGCAATGGAATCTACTGCACTTCTTTCCCACAGGTCAGAAATATTCCCCCAAGACAAAGAGAAATTGGTCCTAGCCTGGGGCCCATGAACTTGTTCTTTGCCCAGGTATTTTCTGAGGGGTCCTGGAGGCTCATATTGGAATCTTTTCTCAAGGCAGGCATAAGGCACCTCAGGAGGGAGAACTGTACCACTTCCTGTTTTCCACCTCCGTCTCATTTCAATTCCTGATTGATAAGTTTGAAGTTCTCTGGAACCATGCAAAGCTATCCTCATGCAACCAACTCCAAGGAACGGACTGGCTCTGTGGTCATCCTTGGACCTCCACCAGCCCGCCATGAGTCAGATTCCTTTTCCAGAATCTGGACCTCACTGAAGTTCTGGGGAGAGCCACTGGGACTCATCTGGTGGAGCCAGTGCTCCAGAAGGTGGACTTGCTCCCTGGTGGGTTTTAAAGGAGCCTCCAGTGGCTCTGTTTAGCCAACCATGATGGATTTTGCCCCAGTTGGACTCTGCAGCTTCAAGTGGAGTCTGGGTACAGCCTCCAGCCTGGGAAAAGCGCCCAGCCCAACAGATGTCATACAGGCAACCTCAGAAGCCCCTTGGTCTGGTCTGGAATAAGGACCAGCCCTTCCAGAACTCTGCCCAGTGCAGCAGGTGCCTGCTGGCTATGGGATTGGATGTGGGGGTGGGGGTGGGGTGGGGTGTGGATAGTGGAGCTCTATATGTAGCTCTGGAAAACCAGCTGCTACTCCCAAACCTATTGTCCATAGTCTGTTTCTGAGGTTGCTTCCTGCTCTCAGAGAACCCCAGTGGAAGTTTGCAAATAGTTTGTCTACATTCTGGAGCATGTTTTTCTGCAACCAACTGACTTCTGGAACTGTCTTGGAGGACAGGTGGGATGTAGGTTACTAATGTGTCACCTGAAAAGCTTGTGTTTTATAAGCTGCTGTTGGGGGTTATGCTGGGGGCAGTCTTCTTCTTTTTTTTTTTTTTTTTAATATACTGTATTTTTGTATGACTTTTGCAAAGTGGTGTTGTTTTTGTACAAGAAAAAAGCTCGGGCAATTCTCCTGCTGCAAGGGTCTGATTTATTTTGAAAGGCAGGTTTACCTGAAATTTTGTATTTAGTTACGATTATTGATTGCCTGATTTTAAAATGTTGCCTTCTGGGACATCTTCTAATAAAAGATTTCTCCAACGTGTCAGAGTGGGGGCAGCTTATGCCATCTGAGTCCCCTAAACCAAGGAGAACTATTTCAGGGTAGCCACAAGTGATCTACAGGCCTGCATTTCCTTAACTATGTTGCTAACCTGGTCATTCCACTTTGGGTTCCTGAAATGCCATCTCAGACATGTCTAAACAATGTAGCCTCAGTACTTGGTGAATGTGAAATTCTCTTGTGAATCGCAGAGTGCTGAGTTTGTGCTTTAAAAAACCAAAACCAAACCCATTGCCGTTCAGTCAATTCCAACTCATAATGACCCTATAGGACAGAGTAGAACTGTCCCATGGAGTTTCCAAGGAGCACCTGGTGGATTTGAACTGCTGACCTTTTGGTTAGCAGCCAAACTCTTAGCCACTACGCCCCCAGCTCCACCACTTACTTGTTTTGTGGCCTTTTAGCTTTATCTTTCTGAGCGCGGGTATCCTTATCTGTAAAATGGGGATAAATGCTACTTCACAGGGTTTTTGCAGGTATTAAACGAAGTAATAGACTTTAAATTACTTTCTAAACTATAAAGCCTTGTATTCTTTAGGGTGGCATTGTCCTTATCTTGGTGGTATGATGACCCTTTGCAGGATGTCTTTTAAAAAATTCTCTGAGAATTTGTGATGTAATAGGATTTTTCTAATAGAAAGGTAGTTTATTTTCTTTCTCCCTGCAGTAGTGAGAGAAAATTAAGGCTCTCTTTCCCTCCCATGGTTCTCATAAACTTTCCATAAATGTAAGAGGGGAGAATTTAATAGTAGCTGTTCCTGATGGGGAGCCCCTGGGTGGTACAACAGTTAACACACTGGGCTGCTAACTGAAAGGTTGGAGGTTTGAGTCCACCCACAGGTGCCTCAGAAGAAAGGCCTGGCGATCTACTTCTGAAAAATCAGCCATTGAGAACCCAATGGGACACAGATGCACTCTGATGCAGATAGGGTCACCATAAGTCAGAGTCAACTCCACAGCAACTGGTTTGGTTTTTTTGGTTCCTGATGGAGCACTGCCTGCATCTAGGTACTCTGTTTGCTCCTTTGCATTATGCCAGACCAACCATGGGTCAGGGCTCCAGATGAGGAAACCGAGGTTCTAAGAGTAAAAATTGCCCAGGGTCCCACCTAGTAAGTAAATGAGTTGGGATTTGAAACCAGCTCTGCCTGTCTCTAGAGCCAAAGGTCTTAACCACTGCGTTATAATGATCAGTGTGTTTTGTTAGCATGGGGTGTGTGCAGGAGGTAAACGGGGAATTCCATCACTTAACTGCTTATTTGAATTCTCTCTCCTTGGGGCCACTGGGCCTGGCCTTTGTTGGGATGAATTGCAGCAAATGTTCCATGACCAGCCTCTCTGTAGCATTTGTGGGCAGGATGGGATAGCCTTGCCGCAAAGAGGCCTCTTCTGGGACTGTGCAAAGAAAACAGTCGCTGTTCAGAAAGGTCATGAGCATCAAGTCAGGAGAAGGCTGCTTTGCCTCCACTAATCCCACCTTACAGCTAGGACCCGGGGTCAGTATTGCCTGCCTGCACTCCTATGAAGCCTGAGTAGGGTCAACAAGCTATTCTTAATTCCTCAGGTTTACAAAGGACCTTTTTGATGATTTTCACCATAACCTGGAAAGTAAGCAATATCAGCCATATGGTACTGGAGCCCAGAAAGGTTGTTTATTGCTCAAGGTGACACAGCAAGATCAGGATTCCAAGTCCAGTCTCCCATCAGGTAAACTTTCCCTTCGGCCTCCGCTGCCCCTCAGTCACCAAACCCAGTTGATAAAACAGACTTGGGTTACGGGAACTCAAAACACTTTCTCTCCTTTAGTTATATCCACCCTGTTTCCCATGTACTCATCCCCCTTTTTTGAGGCCATTTGTCAAGAGATGACGTTGTAGAATTTCTTACCTTCGTGGACACACAGAACTCTGAGCACTCAGTAAAATGGTAGGTACTTCTGGATACAGGCAGTAATGCTAGCTGTTTTACATAACTTAATTTCTCACAATAACTTTGAGAGCAGAGTGGTGTCAGCCCCATTTCACAGATGAGCACACTGAAGCTCTGGGACATTTAAATCATTTGTCTAAGCCCACACAGCTAGTTACCAGCTGCCTGACTCCAAGCTTTAGCTCCTTTGAGTCCCACTCTGCTGAAAAAGGAGTGGGAGAAAAGCCATCTCCTGGGGGGAAGGGAGGGTGTTTCTGGAATGTGAAGTATTTTAAGCTCCTTTCTACAGACTTCCTACCTCTATCTTTGTCTGAAAATAGCCAAGAATTTATTCCTGGATTTCAGAGGACAATTTCTACAAATTAGGTTTGCCTCTGAATAGTACACCTAAGGGACTACACATCCAACTCAGGAAGGTAGACGATAAGGGGTGGCAGAGAAGGCACACTGGTGTAAGATAGAAAGGTCATCTCCCTGTTAGACAATTACAGATTAAAGTGGGTTCTTAACTCCTGTTCCTATTGGCAGCTACTTTAGGGGATGGAGATAAGTTGAATGATCTATGATGTCTGAATTTACCTGACGTGCCCCTGGGGTCAAGATATTGTAGAATATTCACTTTTCGAGGGGGAAGGAGGGTACCTTGGTTGATATGGTTGATAGGAGGGAGTGAGAGAGAGGCTCCTTTCCAAGGACAGGAATATCAGCTGGGAAATGATTCATGACTAGGTGGCCCGGAGTAGGGATGTTCTAAATGTCAGCTAAAGTTCCAATCAGCCTGTTGGTATGTGGGCATTTCTACTTTCAGCCCAGTGGGCAGCTTTTGTTAATGTCTGTTTATTTAGAACCGCTCCTGCCAAGGGGATCTGTATTAATGTTACTGTTCTTTTGGCGAGGAAATGTAAATATCTTCTTAAAGTCTCTAATCAGGTATGTTATTAAAGGATTAGGCTCAGTGCCAGGGGTCCAGTAGGTGTCCAGTAAATGTTGGATTGCCTTTAAATTTGGGGGAGTCAGTATGGTTAAGTGGTGAGCCACACCTAACAGATCTCAGTTCCAAATCTTGTATCTGCATTTTTCAGATGCATGACATTGAGCAAGTTATTAGCCTCTCCCAGCATCAGTTTCCTCATCGGTAAAACAGGTATAAACAACAGCACCTGCCTCACTGGGTTGTTGTAAGAAATAGTAAATGCTCAGTAAATGGTTGTTGTTAACTGGGTCAAGTAGGTCCTGACTCACGGTGACCTCATGCACAATGGAACGAAACACTCCCCAGTTCTGGGCCATCCCCATCATCGGTTGAAAATCAGATGATTGTGATCTGTAGAGTTTTCATTAACTGATTTTTGGAAGTAGATCGCCAGGGCTTTCTTCTTAGCCTGTCTTAGTCTGGAAGCTCTGCTGAAACCTGTTCAGCATCATAGCAACATGCAAGCCTCTACTGACAGATGGGTGGTGGCTACACACGAGGGATATAGGATGGGAATTGAACCCAGATCTCCCACATGGAAGGCAAGAATTCCACCACTGAACGACAACTGCCCCCATTAGTAAATGGTTAGTGTTATTTAAACCATGTTAATAAGTCACACCTAGAATACAGATTAAATAGTCATAGTTGAAAAGCAGAACAGAAGCAACTGGTAAGAGAAGGACTGCTTCCCAGAAGTACTTAAAGTAATCTGGAGTGCACAAGTTGATGCTTAAAGAGGCAGTAAATCATCAGGGAAGAAGTAGCCAGGGTTTTGGAATATGGAGAGAGGCGGAGGAGGAAGAGAAAGCAAAGACTCAAGCCTCTGGTTGGTCCACAGCATCCCATGGCACAGGGGTTGCTCGTCTGTAATGCTGGTGTACATATGGGCCCTTCACTTGTCCTCCTTGGGCACTGTGGTGCCTTCATAGTGAGCTGGAGTCAGTAGCTGGACTGACTCCATTCAGTCACTAAATACTCTAATGCCTCTTTTGTTAAGGCAGTGATTCTTAACCTGAGTTGTATTAAGAATCTATTCCCTCCCCCTACTCCCCTACCCCACCCCCAGATCCTGCTGCACTAGGTCTGGGCCAAGAATATGCATTGCTAGCAAGCTCTGCAGGGATGCAGAATCCTGAGACCACACTCAGAAAAACACCAGTATAAAGTGTTGGAGCCAGATTCTGCAGAGGTACAAAAAGTATTCACAGAAGGAACTGTGTAATGGTTAAGAACAGTGACTTAGGGTTACTACCTGTGTGATGTTGGGCAAATCACCCAACCTCTCTGCATCCTGGAAGTCTTCTTTTGTAAAATGGAGATAATGATAATATCCAACTCACAGGACTGTTGTGAAGATTAAATGAGTTATTATATGTACAGTGTTCAGAACGGTCTTTTCCACACACTAAGAGCAATATGTTAGCGATGATACATGAAGCTTTGGTTTCTTCCTTCCA